AGAATGTGTATTCTTGTTTATGGAATGAAGAGTCCTGTATATATCCAACAATCCCAGTTATTTTAGCTTCTCATTTAGGGTTCTTGTCTCTTTAATATTACATTTGGTTGATCTGCTTAGTGGCAAAAATGGAGTGTTGAAGTGTCCCACTACTATTGTGTTTTCATCAGTGTTAGTGAATGCTTTATGAATTTTGCTGAGCATTCGTTTGGTGCAGAAATGTTGATGAGAGTATTTCTTGATCCATTGTTCCCTTAATGCATAACTAGTGTTGACCACTGTCTCTAATTTCTTTCTTATAATGATTGCTATTTAATCTGATATAAGTATGGCTATCTCAGATTTTTTTCTTCCACTGGTGTGTCTAATTGTTTTTCATCCATTAAATCTGTATTTGTTCTGTGAGCTTAGGTGAGTTTCCTGTAGGTAGAAATGGATAGATTTTCTTTTCTGACTCACCCACCTACCTTATATCTTTTTGAGAGAGGTTAATGCTATAAAGGACTGTGCTCTGTGTGTGTGTGTGTGTGTGTGTGTGTGTGTGTGTGTGTGTGTGTATCTGATTTTTTTTAACAGGAGGCCTTTCTGTAACTCTTGTAGGATTGGTTATGTTGTTGCTAATGTCTCCAGTTTTGTTTGACTGAGAAGAGGCTTGTCCTTCACTCAAGTCTAAATGACTTGTGTGACAGGGTTGTGAATCACAGACTGGAATGGATTCACATTTAAAGTATTCATTTTATTTAAAGTATTCATTTAAAACTTTAAATATGTCATTCCATTTTTTTTCTTGGATTGTACAACATAGCTCCTTCGTTTTCCTATCGTTCATAAAGATTTACGGATGCTGTAATTTGACCTTCAGAGTCCCAATTATCTTACATCTGATCTGTTATTTTTCAGCAAGTTGTTACTCCTTATAATCTGTTAATCTAGCAATTTCTCTTTCTTATGATGCTATTCCAGTGTCATATAGGTGAATATCTAATACTCCTATTTGTGTAGAGGGTTATTATGGAGGTATTTGAGACAAAATATTAAAAGCAAGAACATTTAGAGTTGGTGGCAATGGAGAGACCACAGCACAGGAGGTCATACCACAAGGGCAATGGGGTAAGAAAGGGTTCTAATAAATCTTTTGTAAAAGCTTTTTTTCCCTTTTTTATCAATTTATATCATAAATTATTTTTGTAGTTATTTAAGCTGTTTACTTCTAAAAATTGCCTCATTTTTGAGCATTTAAACTCTTGCTAATTTTTGAGCAGTTAAATTGAATACAGTAATATAACTACAACCAATACTACTTACTAATGTCATAGATAAAGCTATTTTATATATTATGTTTTTCAATCTCCCCCAGATATTTTAAATCTCTAACTTTTGGGAATTATTATTACACCACACCTGGCAATGCTCAGGAGCTGTTCCTGGCTCTGCCCTCAGGAATTACTCACAGCATGTCCCAGGGTCCATATGGGATAACAGAGATTGAAGCAGGTTTGGTCATGTGCAAGACAAATGCTCTATCCATTGTACTGTCTTTCTAGCCTTCTAAATCTTTAATTAAACAAAATATTTCTACTTTATTAATTTTGAAACTTATTTCTTATCAACATCTTTGAAATTTTTCATTACAATAACTTATATACTAAATATATTAATTGAATATAAATTGAATATATATATTCAACTACAATAATTTATATATCATTTTCTAACCCCTTAATTTCAGTTGAAGATCTTCCTTTCTTTTCTATGTATCTTGTCTTCTCTATTTAAGTTGGGTTTTTTGTTTTACAGATAATGAGGAATTTCTGGAACCACACGTTCTCCTGAAAACTGCTATGGGTCACTTCTAAGCAAAGAGCCGAGAATAGTCCCTGAGCACCACTGGGCGTTTCCCACCTCCCAAAATGTTACTAAATTTTTAAGTCACATAAAGAAAAAAGAAAGTAAATTCACTTTGGAATGAAATACACTTCTGAAATGGATTTCATTCTGTTACTTGGCTTTTGGAGACAATTTGGGAAATATTGTATCAGATAGAAAGTATATAGCATCCAATTCTCAAGATTTGAATCAGACCATAAGAATGAATACTCAAATTAGTCATGAATTAGCTGTCATTTTAAATAAGCCAAAGAAATAGAATTTTTGAGTCTTATTTAAATCTATATCTGATGTGAATATAATTGCCAAAAAAGAGCCAGTGAGATAGCTCAAAGGGAATAGTGGGCATGGTTCCCTTGGGTGATGCCCTGAGTTTGATCCCAGACATTGTATGCCACAGCTTTCCCAGGTAAGGACCCTAGTGACAACCACACTGACAAATTCCAGAAACATGGCATAATTTCAGTGTCAGCATGCAATATCAGGTTTGGTACACAATGCAAGATATGGGTCTCAGCAGTCATTAGGATCTATACTGTTGAAACTGAGTGTGGAAATCCCCTGGGCTCCCAAAACTGCCGGGGAGGTTACTGTTCAATCAGATAATCAAATAATATAGTAATCATGAAAATACAATCCTAAAACCTTTGTATCAGGCACTGCTGAACAACATAAAAAATAAAGATTAACATGCCTCAATTTTTCATTCAAAATTCTAATCTGCTAAATTTGAACTGTGTCTCAGAATCTTTTTTTTTTTCAAATTCTGAGTAATCCTAATGCAGCCAGCTGGTGAACACCAAAGTTTCGGGAATTAGAATTGGGATCAATCTAAGGTTAAATACCAAAATGAAAATATTTGAATGGAAGTAATCTAAACTCAAGGTTAAAAAATGGAGACAGGTAAAAAAGAAAATGAGGACTCAAAGGGGAAGAGAATCTTCATGGAACAAGGAGCAAGGTCAGAATGCAATGCAAAATTATAAGGAGAACATAGAAAATTATAAAATAGAACATAGGAAGCTTTCATATTGAGAAGTTTGGTTTTAACAGTATTCATAAAATGGTTGTTCCTCCTTTAGTTTTACTGCTAAGTGATAATTTTATGCAGATTCTGTTATTACAGTTCATTCAGGGTTGAACTATTATTTAGTCAGTGTCTAAAGAATTGTTTTAGTGTGAAGCATTATATTTTGTAATAGTCACTGACATATCCCCTATAGGATAACATTGGCTTGTGCTTTCTCCTCTGCCACAAGGAATTTTGGTTTACTGAGTAATGCCTATCACAATTCTCCTGAAGCACTCCCATTTCCTCAGTCACAATCACAATCACAACCATCCTGTTATTCGTCGATTGCCTCGAGCAGGCCCCAGTAACGTCTCCTTCATCCTAGTCCTGAGATTATATTCAAGGCTCTTTAGGAGAATGAGACCCATCATTGTTACTGGTATTTGGCATATTGGTTACGCCATGGGGAGTTTGCCAGACTCTGCCATGTGGGCAGGCTACATTCGGTAGCCTGCCAGTTTGTCCAAAGTAGTTTTTCCTCAGTTTTCATCTTTAACTTCTCCTTTGTGTTCTGCTTCCTCTGTCTGTTAATCACGCACTTCCCCTAAGCAGTGACTTGTAAAGTGACTTGAAAAGTCACACTATCTCTGGATTTGTATTTGTAAGTGAACTATAGCTTTGCTCTTTTCCTTACGTCCTTTGCATAGTTTACTTTAAAGCAATGTCTTTTTTTTGTATAGACACAGGAAGACTGTTAATGTGTAACACTGTAGCATTGTCCTCCCATTGTTCATCAATTTGCTAGATCAGACACCAGTAATGTCTCTATTGTGAGACTTGTGGTTACTGTTTTTGGCATACCGAAAACGCCACGGGGAGCTTGCCAGGCTCTCCAGAGGCGGGATATGCTCTGTAGCTTGCCCGGCTCTCCGAGAGGGATGGAGGAATCGAACCTGGGTTGGCTGCATGCAAGGCAAACTCCCTACTCGCTGTACTATCGCTCCAGCCAGAACATCTGTATCAGATCATATAATTCTGTCATATGTACCTGATTTAAGCCTCAGTGGCTGTTAGTTCCTAGCACCCCAAAATCAGGGTCCCAACGAAAGGACTGGATGGATCCAGAGTAAGCTGTGAGCTTCCCTGGCATTGAAACAGGAGAGGTCAAGTGCCATAATACTTAACTATAAGTTAAGAGCACGGTCATGGAGAAATTCTGTCATGATCCAAAGAGTAACAACTGGATAAAGACACTGCTAGTGTTAGGAAATAACTATCTGGCCTGAGTGCTGTAGTCTGGCATCTATAGTGAGATGTCCCCAGGACAGCCACCCTATGAGATTAATATGTCTCTTACTGTGTCCATACAAAATGACTAGAGAGATTATGAAGTAAGTAATCTAAGATGATTGTTTATGGACTAAGGAAAAGAGAATTAAGTCTTTAGATTAAAAACATGCCCTTGAGCAGATCTCCTGGCAGGATATATCTGTCTTAAAAGAGCTTCCCCCAAGGAAGGACTTTCATGTGTTGATTGTTCTACCTTACCGAGGTGTAATTTCTATCCCCAATGCTTGAAGTTTGGCCTCTAGACTAAGGCTGGAAGACAGAGAGTGTGGAGAGACTAGCATGGGGGACAGAAGGAATATGGGACTGGGTGAGACTAGAAGGAGACAGAGGGAGACAAGATTGTAATAAACTGCAAATGCTCGCCAACCATCATGGTGACCCTGTTCCCTCTTTCATGCTTCTGTTGGTGGCAGCAGCAGGCCCGGGTGGGGACGTGGCTCGTGGCCACTGAACACATGTGGCAGGAGAGAGCCCGCCACAGCTCACTTACTTAATTTTGAATACACAATCCCCAAACTTTTTTGCCAGGTGATCTTATTCCAGTATGTGTGTGCACATGATAGTTCATATTTGCTTTTATGTCTGTGTTTTTATTTGTGTTTATAGTTTTGGTTGAACCATTCCAATGTTGAACTGGTGGTTATTATTTTTCTTTTTTGTTATCAAAACACCTGCCCCATTTCACATTATTGAGCTTATAAGAAGATTAACAGAAATTAAAATTTCAATTTTAGGTAAATCAAAAGAAAAGTTTTGGGTAAAAGCAAGATATTTATTTCTTTATTATTTATTTTCTTTTTTTCATTCATAAAAGGACAAAACACAGTCCTATACTACTCCTTTGAAAATGATTTAAAAAAATAAAAACAATTAAACATTTATCAGTATCAAATAAAACTATAGTCACCTTTACTAAAATACAAAGAAAAACATGTGTAACTGTATAAAGTTTAATTAAGAATCATGTATTTTAAAGCAAATGGTACATTATTAGTCTGACAGCAGTTTTAAACTGATGGTCCCAGTCAAATTGCACAATAGGATGAGGAAATGAAAAGCCTAAGTCATCAGTATGAGATTTTAATCCACCTATTTCTACCAAAACTTAAAGAATAAGCAAAGAACTTCCAAAATCTGTTTTGTTATTCCCTTTCAGAACCATTTCATGCAAAATCTAACCAGCTTTGCTCTTTATTCCCATGTATCCTAAAATAAAACAAGCATGCATTTGGCAAACAAATCTGTTGATTATATAAAAGTGCCCAACATGGGTTACATTGCAAAAAGAAAATCCCAAAGTGCAACAATGAAAGCACAAACATTTGTACAGAAGACTTATAGAGTATTCATTTCCCTTAAGTATGAAAAGATTTTTGTTTCTTTTTCAAATAAGTAAGTACTGGTAACACCTTAAGATTGTTGACATTTCTTCACTAGGAAATCCATTTCACCTATTTTTAAACATCCATTTTATAAACTAATGAAATACTTATTAATATTTTTATAATGAAAGTTCTAAACATTTACACATAGATATATAGAGTACAAAAATTATAAATTAAATAAGGGGGATAAAGTAGTAATAGATCTGTTTTGTTCCCTATAAATATTTCCTATGAACCTATAAGGTTCCTTTCTATAAAGATATACTCTAATTGACTAGCAAGTGTGTGCTAATAAAATAGGATTAACCTCTTAAATCACAGACATTGCACTATTTCATGAGCCAGTTAATACTTTATATTTGATTTTTTCACACCCATACTCAAACACATTTCCATGCATACCATGGAGAATGAAGAAATTTGCATCTTCCTTTCGTGACTTGTAAAAATCAAAAGCACTAACACTTAGGAGACATATGAACATTATTTGTCTCCACTTTGCTTTCCAGTTTTGCATATTCTACAAAGTACCTTTAGAAACATTAATTTGGTATTTTTAGTCAGTTCTCATTATTGCATTTAATTGAGAAATGGGCTTAAATTGAAATTTAAAACTAAGGAGTACCGTGGATTTTCCAATCAATAGATGCTGTCTTGATCCCACACCTATAGAAAGATATATTTTCCATAGAAATGCTCAAAATCAAACACAGTAAAATATTCTGATAATTGATATTCACTTAATTGCCCAAATTTCAAAAATACAGCCACTTCTCAATTAAAAACTTAAGAAAATGGAAGCACTTTACTTTTCAAAATTCATACATCCACATATAAATAAACAGGATGCTATGATATTCTAGACAATAATTTTGTTTTAGGGACATAAATTAATAATAAATAAATAAAATAAAAGTAGAATGGAATACAAAAGTGAAAAAAACTTTATATGCCAGGTTAATTTTATGATTAGAAAGCTAACTGAACAATTTTACTGGTTCTGAAAATTAAATATCTAGAAAATTACTTACTTTGAAAATAAGAACACTCATAGTAACTTCTGGAATTTGGTTTTCAATATCCAAAATATTTCAAGGCAGTCATAAAATTATATTTGTAATGGAATTTGCATCAAAAATTGTTATACTCTATTTTTCTTTCAAGAAAATTCAAAATGTCATGAATGACAAGTCATTTAAAAAGTACGTACACAAGGCCCTAAACAGAATCATACTAGAGACTGTATTACTATTACATTTACCACATAAGAGCAATGTTTCAACCTCTATTCTAATTCACAACTTATTAAATTTAAAGCACCTGTGTATGGTGATTTGACTTTCACGCTACAGCCTATAGAACTGAACACTGTAACTTGTTCCATTAGATTAAATCATGCAACTGTCACAGAATCAGGTTAAGTGGTTTATAAGGCATATTGGAACAAGTTAAAATAATTTTAGATTCATTTAAAAGTTTATTCGTTTTAATAAAGAGTTCCTGAATGCCTCAATCATTATGTTTGGATAATTAAAGCAGAATATATTTGGCTAGGATGGAGCCGCAGTAATTGTAGTCATCACAGGGACGAGGTTTTCCTCTGAGCTGGATTGAGAACAGTAGTTATAACACCACATTCAGAATTCCAAATAGATTATGAAGCCAAGGAAAGGCATGAGCAAACCAAGAATACCTGGTGATAAAGCGGATACACCTACAAAATAAAAAAAAACACAGATTATTTTAATTAGAAATCAGTTTAATATTTGTCTGCTTCGTTAAAGACTATATTACATGTGTCCGAAAGCAAAGAGGGTTAAAAAAAATAATAAGAGCAGCACAAACCAACACAGCTTCACTCTTATTTAAGAGAATTGGACTGTTTAAATACCATATTCAATTAATAAGATCACAAACTTTTGTCCCCTTTAGCCCTGTGAACCAGTACTCCTAAATTCCCATCAGAAGATAAATAAAGATATGTAAACAAGGAATGCAACATTTATCAATGGGTAAAAATAAGAATGTTGTCTTCCCTGTCATTAATAATACTTTAAAATAATTATTGTTAACATAGTTTGTAGGAGCATGGTGGTGGGCGTGACCTCTGGGGTGGGATGCCCAGAAAACTGACCCAAGGAACTGCAAGACCGCCACTCGGCCAAGGTGCCCCCTGCGAGCACCCAGGCCAGAGGTGATCCCTGGCAAGTTTCAGGACCACATCAGCAATGGGTCTTTAATCTGGCTCAGGCACCAATGCAGCCAACCCCCTACCAGGTACAGTGAGGAGGTGGGTGTGGCCTCCAGGGAGGCCACCACTCATGCCGGTGCAGTTATTTTCTCCTTTCCCAATGCTTTGGACTCACATCTCAATCGCCATTACCTAACTCTGAGGAAGACAGCCTGGCCAACAGTCCACTAGCCCATTCCAACCTCACCAAAATAAATGTGAACACAAGAAACTGAACAAGCCTCATTTAAAAGAACACACCCTCTGAAGCTGCCCTAGAGGACTCACATAAGTCACAGAGGAGCACCAAAGAGGAAGTCAGTATTCTAGAAGGAGAAAAAGGCGACCACCATCAGAATCCTTTCTTGCAGTAAGAGGGGGACACTGATAGTGAATGGCTGGGTCCCACGTCCGTACTACCACAGCAACATGAAGAAACAGCGCAAATCCCCACCATGAGAACTGGATGAAGAAAAGAGCCCAGAATACTCAATAGGGAATACCGACAAATAAAATCTCGCCAATAAAGAATTCAGAGATTCCCACCACAGAGACTGGCACACATCCAAAAGAACAAAAGCAACCAGTGTTGGCATGGATGTGGAGGGAGGGGACTCTCTCCCTCACTGCTGGTGGAAATGACAACTGGTTCAACCCTTTTGGAAAACACTGTGGATGTTTCTCAAAAAATTAGAAATTGAGATCCCATTTCACCCAGTAATACCATTTCTGGGAATACATCCCGGAAATGCAAAAAAGTATAGTAGAAATGATGTCTGCACTTGTATGCTTATTGCAGTACTATTTATAATACCTAGAATCTGGAAAAAAAACAAGTGCCTGAGAACAGATGACTGGTTAAAGAAACTTTTGTACATCTATACAATGGAATACTATGCAGCTGTTAGAAAAGATTAAATCATTAAATTTGCATATAAGTAGATCGACATGAAGAGTATCGTGCTAAAGGAAATGAGTCAGAAAGGGAGGGACAGACATAGAAGGACTGCACTCATTTGTGCACTATAAAGTAACAGAATGGTAGACTAACACCCAAAGATAGCAGAGATAAGGACCACATGGTGGGGAGGCAGGGGATAGGGGTGGTGGGAGGGATACTGGGAACACTGGTGGTGGAGAATGGGCACTGGTGGAGGGATGGGTACTAGATCATTATATGCTGAAACGAAATCACGAAAGTTTATAAGTCTATAACTATCTCATGGTAATTCATTAAAAAAATTTAAAAAATTTAAAACATATTTTGTAGTTTACATGAAATAGGTAAATCCTAAAGATGTAAAATTTAGTAAAAATGAAGAGAATTAAGAAAATTTAAAGGGGAAAATCTGAGTAGGTCTATAAAATTTTATAAATATCTTATCCTGAGAAATAGTTGGTTTTATATTACAAAATATAGACATTGCTTAAGTTTCTACATTAATTAGTAAAATATTGCAATAAAAATATCTATGGATGTAAAATAGCATAATATGCAGAATATTAAATAGGATGAGATGTTAATTCGCTATTGAAGATGTTTAAAATCTCTTAAAAAGCAAGGAGAAAAAAAGCAAGGAGTAAGCATATCTTTCTTTTTCTTTACTTTTCTTTCATTTCCTTTTGTTTCTTTTTTTTGGTGTGTGTGTGGGGGGGGTGGCTTTTGAGTCATACCTGGCAGTGCTCAGGGATTACTCTTGTTTCTGCACTCAGGAATTTCTCCTGGCAGTACTCAGGATATTATATGGGATGCTGGAGATTGAACCCATATTAGCTATGTGGAAGAGAAGCACTTTACCCACTGTACTATTCTCCTTAATTTTAGTTTTTTCAAAAATTATTTATTTTTATCTCTCCAACCCAAGTACAACTTTTATAATCTAGAAGAATGAAACCATAAACAGCATGAGTTACTCAATGCCATGTGCTAAAGTTGTCCTGTCCTTTAAAGAAGCTCCTTCAAATCATCTTGTAAAACTAGTTTCGAGGCTATGAATTCCCTAAGCTGTTGTCTGTCCCTAAAGTTCTTCTGTCCTTCAAATATGAATGACAATCTAGATCGATAGAGTATTCTTGATGATATTTTCATTTAATTGAACTTTTGTACTATATTCCTCTTTTCTCTTCTCACTCCTAGAGTCTGACTTGATGGAACTGCTGTGAATCTTACGGGATTTCCTTTGTATGTAATTATCTTTTTAGATCTTGATGGTTTCAATACTCTGTATCTTTGGAGTTTGTAATTTTGAATAAAATTACTATAAAAATTACTATACAGGGATATGGAGCAATAGTGTAGTGGGTAGGGCGGTCTCCTTGCACGCGGGAGATACAGTTACAAAGCTTTCATGTTTGAGTTTCAGTCATACAATGATTGAACACCCATCCCTCCACCAGTGCACATTTTCCACCACCAATGTCCCCAGTATTCCCCCCCCTCCACTCTTCTCCCTTGCCTCTATGGCAGACACTTCCCCTCATACTCTCTCTCTACTTTTGGGCACTATGGTTTGCAATACAGATACTGAGAGGTTATCACATTTGGTCAGTGTCCAAGTTTTAAGACAGAATCGTTGAGAAAATAAAACTGTCCTGATTTTAGTGTAATTCAGGATCTACTCAAAAATTTAGGCAAAGTGATATGTATATATGTAATTTATGCTCTTTAAAATAAATAGGAAATTTGAAACTAAACACAATGTATACGTATTCTATAATCTTTAGGGGAAAAACTTACCCAATTGCACTATCAACATTTGAATTTGCTTTTGCAGAAGAATTTAGTATCAGTCTTAAAATAACCTCTATTTCATTATAAGCCAAATTCATCCTTGTCAGAATTTTTTAAACAGCTCAATTGAAACATACCTGCTACACTTTCCTTAAGTATGATTGTGGAATTAGCACAGCGGGTAGGACGTTTGCCTTGCATGCAGCCAACCCGGGTTCGATTCCTCAGTCCCTCTTGGAGAGCCCAACAAGCAACTAAGAGTATCCTACCCACCAAGCAGAGCCTGGCAAGCTCTCCCTGATGTATTCAATATGCCAAACACAGTAACAAGTCTCACAATGGAGACATTACTTGCGCTTGCTCAAGCAAATCAATGAACAAGGGGAGGACAGTGCTACAGTGCTATTCATAACAAGCAATACAAAATAAATTATTTCAGTTCTGCTTTGGGGGAAGGATTTGGGGTTCTGGATGGAAATATGGTGGTGGAAAGGTGTAACAGTGGTGGAATTGTGTTAGAATATTAAATGTAATCAAATATTGTGAACAACTAAAGCACTGTAACACTGTCGTCCCATTATTCATCGATTTGCTTGTGCGGGCACCAGTATCGTCTCCATTGTGAGACTTATAAAAAATTTAAATTAAAAAAAATGTAGCTTAAGCCTTACTTCCAGTTACATAATGAGCAGAATACTAAAATGCATGAAGAACAAAAATGTAGATTAAGCTTTATTTCTAATTCTAACCATAATGAGTAATTTTGGTAAAAATAGGATATTTACCTGTGAGGTTGGTATGATCTTTGGCTATTTGTCTAAAAAAAGAGAATTTTTCCTTCTAGAAAATGATAGGCTCAGAGTTATAAATCTTAAGATATATATAAGTAAACTATTATATTTTAGAACTTTAAACCTTGAATGAAAAAATGTATAAACATTTTATATTTTATTTATAATAATCAAATTAATATGTAAGTAAATATACATTAAAAGTTGATTATTTAAGTAATATCTTGATATTCTTACATGTTTGGCAATTCTGAACCCACAAACCAAGTACAATGTATTTTGAGAAGCAGTGTATATTTCTTTACTGTTGAGTCTGGCTTTCCCCTGTAGATTATGCTGTACTGCCATGACATATTTGTTCCTTAAACAAAAAAAATGAATTACCAGTTGACTGAGGATCAACTATTTTTGTTGACAAATGCAAAAGGTTTTTCTACTAATGCTTCCAAACATTCTCTGAACTATTATCTCTTTTCAGAAAACAAAATAAACAAAAGAACAAAAACTCGACTTCTTTGACAACAAAAAAGCAACCTCTCTTTCAACACAGACACAGACACACTGACACACAGACACACAGACACACAGTTTAAAAGTTCCACCCACCCTTGGGAAACACAGTTGTAGGTCAAGAAGCATATGTTCCAATAATTTAATTTTAATATTATTTTTGCTTAATGTGTGAACATGAATAATTAGAATATTAAAACTGACTAAACAAGATGATATTTTTGTAACAGCATGAGATTTGAGGTAAGAAAGAATTTTATTTGAAGTCATTTAAGTGAACTTTGAGGTTCTTAACCAAAAAACCTTAAAGACTAACCTTTTAGAACCTCTATTTCCTGATGTATAACATAGAATGTGTAATACTAACATAGCAAGATATGTGAAAGGATCAAATAAAAAATATTTAGAGTTCATGCAAAGTTAATCTGGTGAATTATTTATGTATAACTTGT